ATCACTGGAAGGCTGGAAAAAGAACATTAGTTGCGCAAGAATTCAGAGAAATTTTACTTGTTTGGCCTACAGCTGGATCCTAATATGATGATTGTTTGTTTTCTCCCTATACACACCTATGTCGTTCGATTAATTGCTACGAAACTCGGCAGTAACGCTTAAATAATTCTAATTTAGATAGTATACATCACACCTGTAAACATCGACTAGATTTTTATAAATCAATTACTTTGTATCTTCATTTGATTCACTGGCTTTTCACTTTGTACCAACTATTGGCAAACAATTTAAGAAAATAATAAACTACATATAATTCTTATAAAAAACGATATAATCTTAACTCATATATCATATATTCACTTAATCACTGCGACAACAATATAAAGCGAAATAGACACGCTAAATCATTACAGTAGAGCCTCGATTATCCGACCCCCGATTAACCGACCGCCCTAGTCGGCAAATTTCAAATGTCCGCTAGTGATGTGGCGCTACAATATTTGGCTATGTCTTGGCTAGTTTAATATTATTTTACGTGTTTTAGCTGGCAACACTCATTCGACCATGAAAGCGAGCCAGTATTTAAACGAGGCTTAATTTTCTAATTTTTAACGATACAATAGCGACGATTATTATTTTAAAAAAAATTTGTTAGGCTTAACATCGATGAAAATTCAACGCGAAGTAGGTTAATAGCGATATACTAATATACTAATTACATGGGATATAATAATATACTACACTAATAATGAATTTTTTCATACTTTTCGGTTATCCGACTTTTCAATTATCCGACCAACCCCAGTCCCCAATTGGGTCGGATAATCGAGGCTCTACTGTACTTCAGCAGATAACATGTAGCATTTTCCTAAGTGGAATGGATAGTGTTATCCTATAAAAACTGAATAAGTATTTAATTTTCCACATAGAACAACTCGGGTGTTTTCATATCTGAACAGTACTTTCTTAATTCTAATAATTGCCATTTAGTAGCCGAGTGGATAAAATCACCGAACAATGGTGGTTAGTCGTGGTTTCGGGCATGGCTAACGGGCTGGTCACTTGGAGTTTTCCGGAATTTCTTCACGTTAAATAAAGTCCAGCTTTCTATAAATTTCTTCCTGAAATGCGTCCCTATCGTCAGATCGCTCACGTGTGCCGCGTTGTCGTAATCAAATAAATCGAACTAATTTTAACAAGCGATTATTTATTGTGACATCGTCACAATACTGTATTTTCAATTCTTATATTGGTGTCTTGCCCCTGTACGTCCTACTTTTTCTGTTAGCAATACAGTCGTGCGGATTATCTACATAACTCCGTTTAGGGAAAATTTTAATTCAAGTAACGAGACGTCCATTTAAAATCACAAGTTCATTTATAGTTAATCTGCCCTCATGCCTTATGCTTTCCACATCTGGTCCCAACTTTCATATATATAATTACTTTCTCAAAATTAAGGAAGGACCGACAGACACAGAGGCGCACGACAGTCAGAATTTATTGGTCAACATTTTTTTGAAATTGCAGCTCAATAAGTTTTCTATGAACGCGATATTTACGAAAACACACTTCCCATACAGTTTAGACAATCTGTTGCCAAAATTTAAACACTATATTATAACATAAAAACAATTATTCTCGCATTTTTATTTAAACAAGTCTCTTATAAAGTCTTTCGGATGTTAAGGTTAGCAAGTTCTATTATGTGCGGGACTATGATCGAAGTAGCTAATCTGTTTAACACAGATCTCTTTTCAATACATTCTTCCAATCGGACCAGCAGTATGGTGGTATTCGGATTGGAAAATTATATATTATAAGGTTACAGGAGAGCACAAAATATGTTTAAAGTGGTTTTCGAGGGTGCCGTGTTTAAATATTTGGTTTCTTTTCGAGAAATTTCATTGATTGGCAGATTATTATTCACTGTCGAATATCAAATGGTACAGTTTCTTATAGTTAACACACGATAGGAAAAAATATGATATCTTATTTTATTTTAAATTTCAAATTTTTAATTGATGTATATTTCACCAACGAAATTTGCCATTTTGTACATTTGAGCATCGCGACATGGACAGGTTGAAATAAACAAATTTTTTAATGATTTTTGTTTTAATATTTGTTATGTTATAGTATCTAATTTATATAACTACAAAGGTTATCTTACGTAAGGGTTTATCACACCGAGTGACTAGTCTAACACGTTTAAAAATTTATTTTTACTGCACACCATTTAAAGAATTTTTAAAATGAGTTAGATTTGCCACGTTAGATGAGTTAGATTAACACACAACTGGAAGACACCTGGTGTAAACAACATTTACAAATTCAGGTAAAATAAGTTTACCTCACTGCACCAAGAACTAGCTAAACACCTAACACACATCATCATCAATCTATAAGACATGCCAAAATTTCTTACCCAGGGAATCACCTACATAAAACCTAAAAACAACAATGCCATAGACCCCATACAATACAGACCAAATACATGCTTTTCAACACTACAATTTATTGATATCCTGTATCGCGAACAAAATATACAAATATGTTGAAGAACACAACTTTTTCACGGAATAACAAATAGGTTGCCGTAGAAATCACAGGGGATGCAAAGAACAATTACTCATAAATTCAGTCATTCTACGACAAGCACACAAACTATACATAAACATGCATATAGCATATTTAAACTGCAGAAAAGCATTCGACAGTGTTCCACACAGTTGGCTGCAACATATTCTAACATGTACAAAATACACCCATCATTCACTGTATTCTTCCACAACACTATGCAGCACTGGAGAAAAACACTAGATATCAGGATTCACAACACTTCCATACAAACAAACCAAATATTCATCAGGCAAGGATTTTGTCAAGAAGATTCTTTGAATCCTCTCTGGTTCTGCTTAGCCCTGAACCACTATCCAACATGTTAAACAATACGCAATATGGCTACAATATCAGACATGAAAAAAAACACAGTTTACACTGTCACATCTCATGTACGTGGACAACATAAAACGTTATGCATCGATACAAAAATAACTTTATCAACTCCTATAAATCACACATTAATACCCCAAAGACATATAAATGGAGTTTGGCCTAGACAAATGCAAAACACTTCACATAGAAAAAGGAGTCCTGAAGAAAGAAGATTTTGCACATGAAAATGAAGATATTATTTAATCCACGAAAGAGGGAGAACTTATACAGCTATTTAGGATTCCAACAGGCCAACAGGTTAAATGCTATTATCAGGACACAGTTAAATGCAAAACACACAGTTAAAGCAATAAACATATATGTCATCCCAGTACTCAATTATTTTTTTCAGTTATACATAGGAATCACACAGATCTTGAGCAACTCCAAAGAAAAACAAGAACAACACTTACTAATCATAAACATCATCCTAATTCGCCATAGAAAGATTAACCCTTCCACGTAACCTAATTGATATAGTTAATCTTCACTACAAACAAATACAGACACTGCAGAGTTTTTCTACAGAAAAAAGAAACATCACAGTTAGACAAAGCAGTAACTGTAGCAAACTCAAATAACACACCATTAAATTTACACTCAAAACATATGGACATGACACAACATATAAAAAGCATACACATCATCAAGCAATGTGGGTTCAAAAGACACTAAATGGAGGCATCCCTACGACCTGGCCAAGGATTTTGTTGAAAAAACTGCTTCAAACAGCTGGTTAGCTCGGGGATGCCTTTTTGGGGAGACGGAAGGATTCATGATTGCCATACAGGATCAGGTCATAAATACTACTAACTACAGAGTACACACTTAAATATACAACACTCACAAAAATACAAAACAAGACATACAGAAAATATCACATCATGCCAGAAACTCTACAACACATCACCTTTGGTGCAAGCTCTTGGCACAGACAAATTATTTACATAGACATAATCAAGTAGCAAATATAATACACCAAGAGCTTGCAAACAAACACAAATTATTAGACATCCACGAACCATACTACAAATATATCTTAAGTCAGTGTTGTAAAACAACGGGCACAAAATGTACTACAACACATATATAATCACAGATAAAATAATTTACCACAACATACCAATCATACATCACACTCATTGACAAACACAATAAAGTTACATACATTATAGACATATTTATTCCAAACACTCATAATGCTCAAAACACATGCAATGAAAAAATTAGCAAGTACACAGAACTCGCCCAGGTAATAAGACGTCTGCAAAGAATGGATAAGGTACTTATTGTATTTGTCGTTCTCTCCTCCACAGGTGTCATACCACACACACTACACAAAAGCCTAGGGACATTACAATTGAATAAAAACACATACATCACACTCCAGAAAGCCACTATATTGAATACATATCATATTGTTAGAAAATTCCTGAATACAGACACACACACTGACACACTTATTTAATTTCCGTCTTGTTTTGGTTACTATGCCTTGACTCTGGTCCGGCATAGTACATAGCCACCGGTATCAACCGAGTATAACTCACCAAACCTAACATAATAATAATATTAAACATCCATTTTAATTTTATAATAATTAGGCTGCAATTTAAAAAATTGTAGACCTATAAATTATCAATTTCGTCTGACTGTCTGTCCGTTTTCCCTTAACCTCGAGAACGGAGTTAGATAGATGACCGACACGACTCCATTTGTAACGGAGAAGTATGAAGTATACAGGGGCAAGCTACTGCTAATTTGAGGTGGAAAACATATATTTTAAATTAAATTATTAAAAATATGTTTAAAAAGCAGTTGTGACGATGTCACAATAAGTAATTGCTCGTTAAAAATCGAAAGTTCATTCGATGAAAAGCAAATTCAACTATGAAATATCATAAATTAAATACTAAAAATCGTTGTAATAACGATTTCAAAACAAAATACATATAAAATTGATGTTAAAATTTAGGGGAATTTAATTGTAATTATTTTCTTAGCAATTGATATCAAGCGAAACATGGATATTTACCTAAAGTAAGCATTGATACAATATGTTTTTATATATAAATTTTTAATTAAATCAATAATTGTTATTGATATTACTTAATTTACATATAATTATTGCCAATTTTAAGAGAGTTTCTTGTGTTTGTTACAATATTTTGTTGGAATGCAAATACTCAGGAGAATACAAATAATCCCGGTGAGTTGTAAAATATAGTTTATGATTGAAAGTGTTAATTAATTCTGAATATTTTGAGGAATTTGTAGGAATTGTACGAAGAATGATTGGTGGAAAAGAAGTTGAAATTGAGGATTATCCATATATGGTGAATAAATATTAAGTAATTTATTTTGTACAGCGAAGTGTATATGATGTAAAGTGAATAATGCTTTCTTCTTAGGTTGCCATGTTCGTTAAAGAAGATCCAAAAGATGTATTTGACTATTTTGTTGGATCATTTACATTGATAACAACGAGAACTGCATTGGGTGTTGCTCACATAGTAAAAGAGTATGCATTTTTTTCTAATTTCTAACGATGAATTGAAGCGTGCTATTAAAATTTTAAAGCAATATATTACAGTTTTTTTAAAATAAAAATAAGTTTTTCGGTAAACTATTCTTCTATATTAAACTTAATTTTCCATAACTTTATGTCTTCAATATTTATAAATTACAGTTACACAACTGAACAATTGTTGGGAACGGTTGGACACAAAGATAAATACGTAGGAACTACAGTGCGTTTTTCTGAAAAAATTGTACATCCAGATTTTAGAAAACAGTTATTCTTTTATGATATTGCACTTTTGATACTAAATTCCACTGCTATTCTTCCTTCAATAGTAAAACCTATCGCATTACCAAGTGTAAATAGAAAATACACTTCCGGAACAGCATTGATGGTTGGGTGGGGAAGAATTGGAAAAGGTGAGTACACGTTGAAATTTGCAATATTAAAAAATATATATATATAAATTCTTTTGTAATATAAATATTTTGCAAATTTTTATCGGTCAGTCTCGTTCTATATTTCGATTTTATGCAATTCATTGTTGAAGTTTGTTCGCATAAATAAGTGCTCGAAAAAATGCAAATCATTGATTTTGCAAAATTTCTTAAATTAGGAAATTTAATTTCTGGTAGGTCTGAATAGAAAGAAATTAAATTATTTTTATATATACTTTGTTTGATTATAAATCAATTAACTCTAGTTGTAAATTGTCTGATACTATTAAAATATCATATATAAAAGGATTTTCAAATATTAATATATCAATATCTTTTGCATAAAAATCTCGAGCCATCTTACTTCAGAAAAGTGCACAATATCTTCATTTTCTGCATCTATTTCGTTTAAGAATTTTTGAAATGTTCGATGGTTCCTCCCGTTCTTGCGAATATAATTGATGGATGTTACTACAATATTCATAGCATTTTCCAAATTTACAACTTTTACACAAAGTGCATGTTGATGGATAATACAATGAAGTTGTATAGGATGCTGTTTAATATTCAATTCTTTAAATTTTTTTTATTAATCAATCCTATTAAACCAGTATTGCGACCTGCCATGTTTTTTGCGCCATCAGTTGTCACATTTCTTAAATTCTCCCACTTGAGATCGTACATACTGAAAACATCTAATAGATTTTTCGAAAACTAAGCATAGTTCTTTATTGTAATTATTAGTAAAAAAATAATTAAAAGTCTACTTTTCATTAAATTCGCGGTTTTCCTCATTAATTTTTTTTCTTTTTGGCATTTTATTTTTTTACTACGATAAAATATAAATTATTCTATTAATAAAATGAAAATAACTTACGTATTTCTAATTAGAAATTTACCTATATAAAATAATGTAGAAGTCGCATAAACCAGCTACCTGTTACAGAGAAACGTCACTCGCTTGTGAACGTTAATATATTACACCAGGCCTGTGTTACACTGATAATAATTTCCTGATTTATTCAGTAAAATTTTTTCCCATACCTTTTTCTTCGGTCCCCCAGTATTTTACTAGCATGAAAATTGAAAATTTTGTGTTATATTTGAACAGATGAGGTAAGTTAGCTTTCCTATGGCTTCGTACCGATATTCTCCTGAATCGTACATGAGAACGTCCCGGGAAAGCTGGTACCAGCTGTTCTGAAAGGCGAGGCAGCACGAGTGTACCTCAGTACGTACAGTACATGATTGACCTTGCTTACCGTTTCTTGGAAATTTAAAAAATATTATCAATAAAAACTTTTACTACTTTTTGTTACTTTTTATTTATAAAAAATAATATTAATAATACAATCAATAAATTTTATAATATAACAAAAATAAAAAAGCCTTTCTAATTTTCCTTTACCATACAAAAATTATATTCCTTGGTGGGCCGCAGAAAAACTTGAAACGGACTGCTTGTTGCCGACCCCTGTTATAAGGGAAAGCAAGTGCACTCGGAGCGATGGTCCCATCAAACAGAAAAGCAAGAAAAAACAATGGAATACAATTTACATGGCTTTTTATTAATATGCATTTGCTACAATAATGTAAATACCTAAATACTGTTTTTACACGATTTAATACGTGTCAATGAATTTGCTTTTTTAAAATCTTTATTTCTTTTCAATTCACATGAAGTTTACTCAATTCTTCCAATATTTTATAATTATTTTGTATTTTATATGTAAAACATATTGAAATTAATGATTAAAAAGGTCAATCATAAGCAATGTAAGCGTTAAAAGCATTTTTGGTTAATAACACGTGAAAGGCTTCGTGAAATATTATTTGCTGATACATTTAGAAGACATTTTCGTAGTTGGACCAAGCATTAAAAAGTATTTAGGAAATATCAGAGCGTTGAATATAAACAAATGTGGTTCCGCTTAGTGTCATAGTTGCCAATTGTCTTTACTATTTCATCTATACATTAAAATTAATATAATTTATATAAATTTATTATTTTATATTTTCAATTAAGAACAGAAAAAATCATTTATAATTTTAAATTGAAGAATAATAATAATAATAATGCATAATTTACATACATTTTACAAGATAAAACAGAGAATTTGATAATTAACAATCTGATGACATGTGATAAGTATATTTCACCTACATCTTTGTATTACCATAAAATGAACAATTAATATTTGATATTATTTTCATTACAAAAGCTAGAGAAAAACAATTTTCTTGATATGTAAAAAGTTGGATTTAAAATGGAATTCCTTATATGCTACGAGTATTATTTAGTGATGTGCCGGATCGTTAAAAATGTATATCCGCGGATACGGAAACAGATCTCAACTTTCGTACTCAGTCGGCGCCGGTGCGTGTGACCTTGGACCGATAGTTGACGCTTTGCGTTAATAACGCGGCGTGTTTTTGTTTATAGTGTGAAAGTGTGCTAAATTAGAATTCACCACAAAGGCAGACAGGATAAAGTAACAAAATTTGATATAATTTTCCAATTAAGCTATTTCGCGTCTTTATACAGATTCTATTTCGGGGAATTCCAACTTCACGGTACAAACAGTAGCATGCGAAATTCAGTAGCGTAGCGTAGTGGGGGCGGCAAAATTTCACAATAAATAATAATAATATCTTGTAAGAATTTGAACCATTTTATTTCATATTTTCGTCCACCTACGACTTGGACCGATTGAAATGAGCACGGAATAGTGTTAAATCCATCTGGATAGACCTGGAATCGACTAGCCGTCCGGGGATATCGTGCGCGACCTGTTGACCTTTTTTTTTTGTTTTTGCTTGTACGATTTATTCGTATATATATACACCTCCAATATCCAATAGAGCTAGGTCACTTGCGTTACTTCTATCCATGTCTCCGTAGTCGCTAACTGTAACTGATTTAGAACCAGCATGCACTGCACATTATTCTTCGCATTGCAAAATGGCATACGCATGCATCAGGAACTTCTATTCGAACAAACTTCACCTGCCGTCCGGGTCAGCGATTTTAATAAGGTGGCAACACTAGCACGGAATTTTTCATTACTTATTCTGTGACGAAACTGAATTTTGGTCTTTTAAATTGAGATACCTAAATAAGGGGGGACGAAAATTTCCTCCGCCCCGGGCGGTTGACACCCACGCTACGCCACTGGCGAAATTACAACGAAAATAATAGTTCGCTGTATCCAAAGCACGTGTACAATACAGATGCCGATCGCGACAATATAACCCGGAACCTTAAAACTAACCTTAAACACTAACTTAACACTAATAACAAAAAAAGGGATAGAATTAAGAAGACAGAAAAAAATGGTATATAAGATAGAAATAGGGATATCTGGGGTTGTCTCTTTTTTCGGCTTGTTTCTTTATGAGTACTGTTGGGTGGGATAACACACGTCCTTCTCCTATAACTGGCCAGTTCTCTTCTTCATTAATTAGGATTTTTCCTTCCACAGTCCTCAATACGACCTTAAAACAGGATCTTTTTTCTAAACTATTCGGTCATTGAAAATACGACTCCCAGTATTCTCACCTCGTCCGTACACTCTGCCGTCCGGTTTACGAATGACCTGCTACGTCACTTCTCTTTTTTCTCCGGTTCCTGTTTACACCTTTGCTGCTCAAATTTCTAGGAACTGCTCATCCCACCCAAGGGACAGGGAATAGATAAGAAAGTTCTAGAAGAAAATAGAACAATAGAACAAGGGGTAGAAAGAAGAAACGAAACTAAACTAAAATTAATATTTACAAAAATATAGCGTACCGCCACAATAGTTTAGTGCAGTGTTTCCCAACCTTTTTTGTGCTATGCCCCACCTAAGCCTTTCTAAAATCCTTATGTCTCCTCTACAGCGGCTATACGGTTAACTTAAACTCTGGACAAGTCCATTTTCGAATTGTCCTCCTTAGCAATCCAATTGCCCCTGTGGGGCGTGAACCCTACGTTGAGAAACACTGGTTTGTGGCTAGTGTGACACGGGATAGCGTAGGTTACGTTTGTGTTTTTGGAGAGTGTTGAATTAAATTAAAATAAAAACGATGTCGACAAAAAGTTTATGTTATAGTATAATATGGTAATATTTTACGATAGTAAATGACAAATGTGCTAAATGTAAAATTTGTGAAGGAAAGTATTCCCGTAAGGGTAAAGGTACAACATCGTTAAAAAATCACCTCCAGAGGAAACATCCACAAAAATATGCTTTATTCTTAAAAGACTCCTCTAAGAAGAGTGCCGATGAAAACGTTCAACAGGGAACATCTTTACAAACGGTAAAACGATAATTTAGACAAACATTTTTTTTAACGAATACATAGAAAAACTCAAAATGTGGGATAATACAAACCCCAAATCAATAAAAATTGACTATTTAATTGCAGAAATGATAGCTTTATCTGATTTACCTTTTCAACACATTGAAGGATTGGGGTTCTGACGATTGTTGAATCATGCTGTTCCAAATTATGTTCTAAAAGACAGGAAATATTTTACGGAACTTGTTTGCAGCGAACTTTACGATAAAGTGTCATCGAAAATAAAGATCATGTTGAAGGATTTTGAGGAAGTTTCCTTTACATCAGATATCTGGTCAGATTCTTCGTCGGGAGTTTCATTATTATCCTTAACATGTCATGGTATTAGAAAAGATTTTATAAGAAAAAATATCGTTTTGAAAGCGGAGATTCTTGACGAACGCCACACGGGAGATTACATTTCGGCAATATTTCAATGTATGCTCGAAGAGTGGGGAATCCCAAAACAGAATGTGCACTGCATAGTAAGAGATGGGGGATCCAACATAAAGCGTGCCTGCACTTTATCTGACATAAATAATATTGACTGTACAGCACATCAGCTGCATCTGGTGGTCAAAGAAGCTATTAAAAATGTTGATGCAATATCCACGTTATTTACAATGCAGAAAAATTGCAGGACATTTCAACCATTCTACAAT